TACGCAAATGATAGCACATTATTTACAGTTTTTTAAAAAAACAACTGATTTTGGGGATCTCTCCTTAACATTATGTAACAATACATAGAGAGCATCCTCTTGTTTTTCTTTTTTTTTTTTTGAGACGGAGTTTCGCTCTTGCTACCCAGGCTGGAGTGCAATGGCGCGATCTCGGCTCACCGCAATCTCCGCCTCCTGGGTTCAGGCAATTCTCCTGCCTCAGCCTCCCGAGCAGCTGGGATTACAGGCACGCACCACCGTGCCCAGCTAATTTTTTGTAATTTTAGTAGAGACGGGGTTTCACCATGTTGACCAAGATGGTCTCGATCTGTTGACCTCGTGATCCACCCGCCTCGGCCTCCCAAAGTGCTGGGATTACAGGCTTGAGCCACCGCGCCCGGCCCCTCTTGTTTTTCTTATGGCTGCATATTACTGCTCTATAGAGATATACCTAAGTCCCTAATGAGGGGCATGGAGGTTGTTTCCAATCTTTGCAGAATATGGCAATATGAGAAATAGGAACACTTTTACACTGCTAGTGGGAGTGTAAATTAGTTCAACCATTGTGGAAGACAGTGTGGCGTTTCCTCAAGGACCTAGAAATAGAAATTCCATTTGACCCAGCAATCCCATTACTGGGTATATATCCAAAGGACTATAAATTGTTCTACTATAAGGACACATGCACATGAATGTTCACTGCAGCACTGTTTACAATAGCAAAGACCTGGAACCAACCCAAATGCCCATCGAAGATAGACTGAACTGGGAAAATGTGGCACAGTCAAAAACGATGAGTTCGTGTCCTTTGTAAGGACATGGATGAATCCGGAGAACATCATTCTCAGCAAACTGACACAAGAACAGAAAATGAAATACCGCATGTTCTCACTCATAGGCGGGTGATGAATAATGAGAACACATGGACACAGGGAGGGGAGCACTACACACTGGGGTCTACTGGGGGGAATAGGGGAGGGACAGAGTGGGGGGGGGCGCTGGGGAGAGAGAGCATGGGGAGAAATGCCAAATATGGGTGAAGGGGAGGAAGGCAGCACATCACACTGCCACATGTGTACCTATGCAACTATCTTGCATGTTCTGCACATGTACCCCAAAACCTAAAATGTAATTAAAAAAATAAAGAATATGGCAATATGGGAACATACAGTTAATGATACTGGGGCTGGGAAATATTTGTATTTTTTCCCATTTTAATAGATGAAAATGACATCTTTAAAGTGTTTTTAATTTATTGTTCATCAACTCTTTAGACCAGATTCTACAGGGCTCCAGGCTTCAGGGACACTCTCACCTAATCTAGTCCAAACCCAGGAACAATTGGATTGTAGAAATCGTCTTTGCAGTCCTCTCTCCTTGCAGGATCCAGGAGTCTAAATCACATCCCCAGCTGCATAAGATGTCTTTTAGGACCCCTAGTCCCAGACCTGTCAGTCACGGACTCCACTCCCAGAGGAGGCAGTATGATGAAGTATAGAGTCCTGGTTCCAGCACCAAATGCATGGCCTTGCGTGGTTAATCACCTGCCCTAGGCCTCAGTTTTCCCCTCTGAAAATTGAAGATATTGTTAAATAAGATTTCTAAGCATCTTTAAAGAGAACAGGTGGGAAAGGAAAGGTGGGGTTACTCTGATCACTTGCAAAAGAGCTACTTGTTGGTGCTGTTTCCCAGAGCAGGGATGGGGCGGGAGAGTGCGGGGGGACCAGGGCCGCTGCTTCAGGGCGGTGCTGCCCACTTACCTTCTTGCCACTGACAGGGTGACTTCTCCCTGCTCGAGGAACTGTATCATTGTTTTGGGGAGTGTGGGGTCAAAGGCATTGAGGTTGATAACTCCTCCACCATTCCCTGTTTCCAGGCCCAAGTGAGGCCCCACTAGGTGGGGTGCCTGGAACTGCACTAGTCTCATGTCTCTGGATGGTTGAATGGGCCATTTCTGAGCCTGCATCAGAGCTGTGAGCACCCTTCTTCTACCAGAGACCAGCATCAGAGCCTGCAAAGAACAAAGCAGGATCCATGAGACGGAGGATCCCAGAGCCATCATCAGGATCCCTGAAATTCCAAGGGCTACAGCCCCAGGCCCTTTGCCCCAACAACTGTTCCCTGCATACCACATGGGAAGTGGTCCAGGCTTGTATTTTACCTTGCTGTACTTCATAAGGTGAAACTTTTCTAGAGGAGCAACTACTATGTGCTAGGCACTAAGTCCCAGGGATTCCAGGATTCCTTCAACCGGTGCTCTCTGAAAGTTCCCATTGTGCTTGGCTCTGCTGCAGGCATTGGGGAAACAATGTAGCTCAAACTCAGCCCTGCCATTCTCCCTGCAGAGGTCACAGATGTTAACAACCGACCTAAGATTCAGCTATCAGGACTAGTGCTGTGAAGATGATCAGGGGCCCCTACTCTTATCTAGTTTCTTCAGGAAGTGATATGAGCTGAACTGGGCTGAATGAGCGGAACCAGGAATTGGCTGAGTGGCAGCACAGCGTGGGCAAGAGACTGCTGGTGAAATAGGCTTCACAGCGGCCATATGCAGATGATTTTAAATGTTAATCTGTTCCTGTTAACCTCCTACTTAAAATGGTTTCCAATGGTCACATGATCAAGCTAGACCCTCTACCAGGCTGTCCCAGTCTTCTAGGAGCAGTGCCTCACCTGCCTCTCCAGATAATAATTATTTCTTTTCTCCTGACAGAGAACAAGTTGCCTAAGGGAAGAGGTTGCAGACAAACAGCAGGGTCTGGGCCTGACAGGCATCACTTGGTCATCTCCTCCCTGTGTCCAGGGGACATGTTTGTCTCTTTCACTGCCTAGCACTGTGCTTGCTGCACAGAAGGCTCTCAGTGACATTCTGCCGAATGAACGAATGACAGAAGCAGGGCCTTGACTTTTCACTACTTGGGAAAGTTTAGTGCTTGTTAACTTCAGGAAACATGGCTGTGCCTTTCCTCCTCAAATCACTTAGAAAGTATCCACAAGGGCTGGACACCGTGGCTCCCACCTATAATCCCCAGAACTTTGGGAGACTAAGGCAGGTGGATCACTTGAGGTTAGGAGGTCAAGACCAGTCTGGCCAACATGGTGAAACCTCATCTCCACTAAAAATGTAAAAAATTAGGTGGGAGTGGTGACTGGCACCTGCAATCCCAGCGACTAGGGAGGCTGAGACACAAGAATTGCTTGAACCCAGGTGGCGGAGGTTGCAGTGAGCTGAGATCATGCCGTGGCACTCCAGCCGGGGTGACAGAGCACCTACACCTCAAGAAAAAAAAAATTATCCACAGGGCTCAGGTCCTGTTTTGAGTCCAAGGCTCCACTTAAAGACAAACACTGCCCTTTTGTTTTGTTCTTAATCCAAGTCTGGCCTCTATTCCTTACCACATAGTGCCTTCCCTGAATTGCTCCTTGCTCTTACGGTAAAGGTTGTATAGCCTTTTATGCCCAAAAGTGTGGAGGCACCTGAGCCCCAGCCTCTTGGTCCTCACCTGGATGATTCAATCTGCCTTGTTCAGTTAAAGACTCCTTAGACTTAGGTCACCACTGTTGTGGCCCGCCAATCTGACCAGAAAACCGAGGCTTTGAGTTCCCTGCCCTGCTGTCTTACACAAGCACCAGCTGTGCTACTGTGAAAAGGTGGTTCGAGCCAAACTGCACACGCTCAGACACTCCACACCCCACACCCAGAAATAACGGTAACGGCTGATGCTGAATGCCAACTATTAAGTGCTCTACCTACAATGCCAGATTTAACTCTTGACAATTGTGGAAGGTAGGTACTGTTAGCCCCAAGTTAGAGATGAAAAAAATTAAGGCTTAGAGAGGCTAAGGGATTTGGCCAAGGTTACGCAGTCCTAGAGACAGGAGGGGAAGGAGCTGAGATATGAATCCAAGTCCAGATGACACTGAAGTCCTTGGTTCAGAGCTTATAATGCAAATAAGAAAATCTAGCTTCAGCCCCCATCCCCCAACGATATTTTAACCCAGAGTGTTGTGAGAAGTGGCGATCTTCCATAGGAAATCCTTCAAAGGCCCTAAAGATTGTGGTGAGAAGCAGGGACCTCCACAGGAGATCCTTCAGAGGCCCTAAATGCTAACAGCCATGAGTGGGGAAACTACAGGCACCCTCTGGCTGTTGCCTCAGGGACAAGGCTGGTTACCTGCTTTCCAAGAGGACCCCGGGCCACACTGACTGCGCCCTTCCCACATGACACACATGCGGGTTCATTCCAACCTTACAGCAATCCCCTCAGGTAGAGCGCCCTCATTTTAATAAATGGGGCACTGACTCTCAAAGGGGCGAAGTCACGTGCCCAAGGTACCAGTCAGAAAGTGGCCCTGGGGCTTCTGCAGCAACCACTATGACACGCAGCCCGAGCTCAATCCAACTCTGCAAGAGTCCGTAAGCAAAGGGGCGGTGACCTGAGGTGGAAACAGCAGCCCCCATCTTCCAAAGCCCGAGACTGGGTTGTGCACGTGGGATCCCAAACCACAGTCCACTCGCCTGGAAACCCCCAGTTTCTCTATATGCCCAGCTCCGTCCGCTGCAGTGAGTGAGCGCTCACACGGTTCCACACTAAGCTGCTGGGGACCGGTTCCAGTTCTGCCCTCGGCTGGAGACGCGCTCCATGGACACCCTTCTGGCCTGATCCAGCCAGGCCCAGTTTACCTGGCGGCGGCAGCCGGTCCTCTCGCGCCCAGTTAGGGCTCCCGGGGCTGAAGGTTAAGGGCGGCGGGCGCCTGAGCACTGGCACCAGTGACTGCGACCAGCCGGGAAACTGAAGCGGCCCCAGCGAACCCAGAGCCTCCCGGCCGGATCCTTCCAGCGAAAAGCCGACGCGTCCGGTGACGTCACAGGCAATGGCCACAAGCCGGGCGCCAATCCTGAGGGGCCTGAGGGGCGGGCCCAACGCTAGGCAGGCGTTTACTGGTGGTTCTTAGGCTCCTGACGTAGCCCGGCGACCGGCATATTCTCCGAAGTCGCTCGCTACCCTGCTCTGGCTCGAGCCCGAGAGTGGGCGCTGCCCGAAAGTTTTTCCCTAAACGCCTTGCTGGCCTCACCCAGTGTCGGCCCCGTTCTGGGCCTGGCGCCGTTCTCATTGCTGGGGAAAGTGGTGGAGGAGACCAAGGCAGCGTGCTGGCTGGTAGAGATTTGTGGCTTCCGATTGTGACATAGGTCGTTGAGGAGGTGACAGATCACTGCCCCTGTTTTTCTTACGGGGAACTTGGGGCCAGAGCTGTTTTCCCAGGGCGACACAGGCAGTGAGTAGTGGAGCTGGCATTCCTGACCCCAAAGCCCAGCGTTTCCCAGCCTCTCTCAGCAGCCCGGCCTTCACCTGCACTGCTGGGCGCAGGTGGGGAAGAGAGGAAACGAGGCTCCATCCCCGGCAGAGGGCAGGCACGCAGGGAGCAGCGGCTGAACTCCACAGACAGCTACAGCTAGCTCTTGAGCTGTGGGCTTGAAGAGTGTGAGGGGCTCTGGGCAAGAGGCCCCCACATTACTCAAGGACCAGATCATCAAGGGGTTTACTTGGCCCACGATGGAGTCTGGATCTTGTTTAAGTGCACAGGAGACCGCTGGAAGGTCCTTGCCGGCATGTATTTGAGTGCCCGACTTGTATTTGAGAAGTTTTTCCCTGGCCACCCCTGTAAGGAAGGAAGGGTGTCTGGGTGAGTGGTGCAGGTGAGAATAATGGTGGTGTGTGGGGGAGAAGGTGAGTGTCCAGAGATGTTCAGGAGGAAGAACTGACAGCTCTGGATGACAGGAGGTGGAAGTGGGAAGGACGTCCAAGGCCGACTCCTGGGGTTCTCTAGCCGGGTAGGTGCACGGCCATTCATGGAGACAGGGCTTCTGGAAGAGCAGCAGGTCTGGGGAGAGGATGGTGAGCTGTGTTTTGCATGGGGCATCCAAAGGGCATTGCATGGTGGGCACTTGGAGACATGGGTCAGGAGCTTGGGACTTCAGCCTGACTTGCAGAAGGAGGTCACCACAGATACAGAAATGGAACCTGTGGGGGTGGCTGTGACCAGGGGGATGCGCTGAGGAGAACCTGGCAAAAGCGTGTCACTAAGCCATAGCTCCCAAAGACTTTCTGAAGAGATAAGTTACAGCCTGGAAGAAAATATCTGCAAAGCATATATTTGATAAAAGACTTGTATTCAGAATACAGAAAGAACACTTAAAAGTCCATTGATAAAATCAAAATTCAGTTTTTTAAATGGACAAAATATTTGAACAGACACTTCACCAAAAAGATATACAGATAGAAAATTAAGACATGAAAAGATACTCAACATCATTAATCATTAAGGATATGCAAATTACAAGCACAATGTGACACCATCTCACACCTACTAGAATGGGCAAAGAAGACTGATTATACCAAGTCTTGGCAAGAGTGTGGAGGACCTGGGACTTCTTGTATACTGCTGATGGGATCATAAAATAGTTACCACCACGATTGAAAACCATTTGGCAGTGTGTGAAGAGAGTTAAACATACACCTAGCATAGGATCTAGCCATTTCACTTGTGACGATCGACAGTATTGAATTTTACCTTTGCCTTTTGCTCCTAGAAATAGTGAAGGTTAAGGAATCCCGCCACTCTTTGGTTCCAGAAAACACCCTACTGGAAAGAACCAGTGACTTTCCATATAACTTGGATAAGACTCCCAGATGCTCCCTTGTTCATCCATGACCCGGCCAGACGCAGACCCTCTAAATTCCTATTCTTGGCGTCATAAATGATTAGCTGGACTGCTTGTCCCCATGCATCAATAAGAACACACTGCCTGTAACCAAACTTTGGTTCAGATTCTGTCCTCCAGGCCCCTGAGCTTTGGCCCACCAGCAGCTTGTGGCAACCCACAGCCCTCCTGGGAGTCCCTCGTGACAACAGGCTGTCCTCAGGGTAAGACCTGCTGGATTGTGACACTCCTGCTCAGCCCACTTTTCCATAATAGTTATTTCTAGCCAAGTTTATTCCTCCCTATGCAAGATTAGCCACTTGCCTAACTTCTGAGACACTTGCTGATCATATGGGGAGCCCGAGAGTAGGCATGCTGCAACGTTTCCCTATTGCAATAGTCCCCTCCACACCCCACAACAATCCTTTAGAATAAATTCTCTCCTTATGAAATCCAGATTTATGTTTTTTACCTGAGAATTGAAAAAATATGCTCATGCAAACATTTATACATAAATATTCACAACAGACTTTTTGTAAAATCTCCAAACTGGAAACCATCCTGTTTTCCGTTAACAGGTGAATGTGTGAACAATCTGTGTTTATCCACACTAGAGAATATTACTTCAGCAATAAAAAGGGACAAATTGTTGATGCAACATGGATATATATCACGATAGTTATTTGGAGTGGAAAAAGGTAGATTAAAAATGAGTATATATGGGAATATTTCATTTGTATAGAGTATCCTTGGGGGACACCTTCAAAGACCCTTAGCGGATGCCTGAGACTGCAGACAGTACCGAACTCTGCATATGTCATGTCTTTTCCTATACATACCAGTGATCAAATTTAATTTAATTAAGATGAAGTTAATCTGGTGCTATATTGTTGCAGATAATCAGAATATATTTCTGTTCATCTGTTCCACCCACAAATCTAATGCCTTTTCCACCCTAACCAAGCTCTTCTCACGCACTGTAGCCATAACTTTTGCAGTTGAGATGCAACAGCAAAACCGGCACAAATTTCTTTTTCCTTCTTCACAGTTTCATGGATAGAAGATTCGTTCTTTCCCTAGATCTTAGCAACCTCTTTCTGTGATTTCTTTTTCCTGCTAGCTTGAGAGGGGCACATGTTGGCAAGAAGGAACTCAGGATCCCTGCCAGGTGCTCTGCCCTATGTGTATCCTGGACTAGCCACATCCTCCTCTGGCTTGCTCTGGTCTGGCCTCCTCCTGCGATAAAGGGGCTCCATCCACAGCCCTCTGTCCACGAGCACCCAGGCTTTGCTCACATTTTTTCAGGGACAGGGAGCTCACTCCTGTGTCAGTGGCTGGGCCCAGTACTTTATGAGGAGGGGGAGAATGGAAGGCAACACAGTCTTCAAGTGTTGGTACTGTGCGGGGTGAATGGAACGGCCCAGGTACCAATGTGCCCTTGGTGCTCCCTTTTGCTGGGTAGTCCTTCCTGTCAGAATGTGCTTCCTGTGACTCCTAGCTGGTAGAAATGTCCTCAGCTTTGCCCTGGATTTGTGCAGAGCACATTTTGTCCTGCATTTTCTAAAATGTTTGAATAAAACCAGCATGTCATTCCTCTGCCTCCTCTCCCCTAGTTCCCTCACCTTTCTCAGACTTCACATTATTCTCATGATGTCCTTGGGGTAGATCCAATCACTGTTGGTCATCATCAGGTGAGCCTCTTCCTGCTGGAGGATGGGGTGTCCGCACCTAGCTGAACCAAGGCCTGGCCATGAGACTTGTTTTTGGCCGATGCTATGTGGGTAGGAGCACCATATGCCCCTTATAAGTCTCCTGTTAGAGCCAGCCTGTGTTTGCCACATGTCTTTTCCCTCTGCTACTAGATGGAATGCTCTAAACAAAAAACCACTCTGTCAGCTTGGGTCCCAGAGTAAAAATGACATGGATTGAGCCACAGCCGACTCACATTAGATGTGAAACATGAGAGAGATGACCCTGAGGTCTGGGAGTCTTTTGTTGTTGCAGCAAAACTCAGCCCATCCTGTCTGATATGACTCATTTGCCAACATCTCTTAGAAAGTGGGATATCTCATCTTAAGAGGATGTGAATGGTCTGGAGTAAGATAGCATGCTCAATTCCTTGTCCAGAGATTATAGATACATCTGTGAATTCAACATCCCTTACAGAAGCACATCGTAATTACCTTGAGTGCAACGCATTCCTTGTGTACACGAATAGCTGGTAGAAAAATGACTTTCTCATTTCTTGCCTAAGCAAAAGATCATCTACACTTGAAGAGACCACTTGCCTTTCAGTGGCATTATATTTCATCCTGATGACTCTGACCTATCTCCCCAGCTGTTGGGCTAATTTTTTGAACATTGTATTAGGAAACTTTCGAACATACAAAAAAGTTGAAAAAAATACAGTGAAAACCTGTTTACCCACCACCTAGACCCCACAGTTTACATTTTACTATAGTTGCTTTATCAGAAGTCTATCTCTCTATCCTACCTATCTGTCCTTGTCTTTTGATGACTTTCCAAGTAAGTTATAGACATCAGTATACTTTCCCTGCCCCCCTCAAATATTTCAACATGCATACATTGGCTAAAGTTCTATATTTGTTTATGTTTTTTAGGCGTATACAGGGTTCTAGCTGTCCTGTTTCATCCAAGGGGACACAACCAAAAAGCATTCGTGAAGTTAACATTTCAGAGACATAGAATCATCAAAAGACTGAGACCTAATCATGGGACTGTGAACACTCTCCTGCTGTCTGTCACCTTACTACATATGACATTACTAAAGGGCCTACTAACTGCAGTTCGTCTTACCCAGGACATCATGTCTGATATCAAGAAAAAAGTTACAAGTCATACTAAAAAGCAAAACACAAAGTTTGAAGAAAAGAGCAAGCATTAGACCCAGACTCAGATATGACAGGAATGTCAGACTTATCAGACTGGAAATTTAAAATAACTACAATTAAAATGCTAAAGGTGCTAACGAATAAGGTAGACAGCATGCAAGAACCTGTTACACAGAGAGATGGAAATCCTAAGAAAAAAATAAGAAGAAAGGCTAGAGATCTTAAACACTGTTACAGTGATGAAAAATGCCTTTGAAAGGCCCATGAGTATACAGGACATGGTTGAAGAAGGAATCGCTAAGCTTGAGGATATATCAATAGAAACTTCCAGGACAGAAAAACAAAGGACAGAGAGACAGGAAAAAGTGAAACAGACTATTCAAGAACTGTGTGACAGCTACCAAAAACAAACAAACAAACAAACAAACACATAATGGAAATGCAAGAGAGAGAAGAGAAGAGAAGAGAAAGAGAAAAAATGTTTAAAATGATAATAGCCTGGGCAATGTAGGGAGACCACATCTCTACAAAAAAATTTAAAAATTTAGCCAGGCATGATACACACCTCTGGTCCCATCTACTCAGTGGGCTGAGATGGGAGAAGCACATAAGCCTGGGAGGTCAAGGCTGCAGTGAGCCATGATTGCAGCACTGCACTCCAGCCTGGGTGACAGAGTGAGACCCTGTCTCAAAAAATATAAATAGTCAGATGTGATGGCACACACCTGCAGTCCCACCTACTCGGAGGCTGAGGCAGGATGATTGCTTGAGTCTGTCCAGGAGATCTGGGCTGCAGTGCACTATGCTGACTGGTTGTCTGCATTAAGTTTGGCATCAGTATGGTGACCTCTGGGGAATGCGGCACCACCAGGTTTCCTAGGGAGGGGTGAATTGGCCCAGGACAGAAACGGGGCAGGTCAAAACTCCCATGCTGATCACACCTGTGTAAGGCCGCTGCACTCCAGCCTAAGCAACATAGCAAGACACTGTCTTTTAAATCAACAAACAAACAAGCAAAAATAATGACAGAGATTTTCACCAAATTAATATCAGGCACCAAACCATAGATCCAGGAAGCTCAGTGAATACAAAGCAGAATAAATGCCAAAAAACTCCACCCAGGCATAGCATATTCAAACTAGAAAATCAAAGATAAATAAAACAACTGGAGACCAAGGCAGGTTGATCAGAGACCAAGGTGGGTGGATCACTTGAGGTCAGGAGTTTGAGACCAGCCTGGCCAACTTGGCAAAACATCACTACAAAAAATACAAAAATTAGCTGGGTGTAATGGTGGGTGCCTGTAATCCCAGCTACTTGGGAGGCTGAGGCAGGAGAATCGCTTATACCCAGGAGGTGAAGGTTGCAGTGAGCTGAGATTGCACCACTGCACTGCAGCCTAGTTACAGGGTGAGACTCTGTCTCAAAACAAATAAAACAACCCCCTAAAAATATGTTGAAAGAAGCCAGGGGAAAAACCAGCTTATCTATAGGGGAGCAAAGATAAGAATAACATCTGCCTTCTCCTCAGAACCCATGCAAACAAGAAGAGTATGAAGTGAAATATTTAACATCTTGAGAGAAAAAAATAACCTAGAATTCTGTACCCTGTAAAATGATTCCTCAAAAGCAAAGAAGAAATACAGACTTCTCAGACAAACAAACTTGAGGGAATTTATTGTCATTGCACGGACCTTGTAAGAAATATTGAAAGAAGTTCTTCAGAGAGCATGCAAGTCAGTCTTTCTTTATATGAAAGAGAGGACTGAAGAAGGAATGAGTGAAGATAAAATAGAAACTTTTATTTTTATTATTCTGAATTGATCTAACAGATAACAGTTTGTTAAAAATAATAGCAACAATATATTCAATCATTTGTTCACACGTATATATATATCCACATAAACATAAACATATATACTTAAGTATGCTTATGTATAAGTAAAATGAATAACAGCAGTGATATAAGAGACAGGAGGCAGGAATTGGGATTATTTTGTTGTTATAAGGTACTTGGCACAATATACCAACTATATACTACCACGAAATAGTATATAGTGTTTGAAAATGGATTTGTATTCATTGTAGATGTATATTGCAAATCTAGAGAAAACACTAAAACAAATGAAAAAATAAGAATAAACTTTTTTTTTTTTAAAGGAAGTTGTTTTAGTCCGCTTGGGCTGCTATAACAAAATACTTTAGACTGCATTATTTATAAATAATAGAACTTTATTTTTCATAGTTCCAGAGGCTAGGAAGTCCAAGATCAAGATAATAGCAGATTTGGTGTCTGATAAGTGCTCACTCTTGGCTTCCAGGATGTACCTTCTTGCTATGTCCTTCTGTGGTGGAAAAGATGAATAGCCCCCTCTCATCTATTTTATTAAAGCATTAATCCATTAATGAGGGCCCCACCCTCATGACTTAATTACCTCCTAAGGGCCTCACTTCTTACGTTGGTGATTAAATTTCAACATAGGAATTTTGGGGGAACATAGACCATAGCAGAAATATGCTATTTCTTTTTTGGTCATAGAAAATACTCAAAATCACAAAAGGCAGAAAAAGGGGGGAAGACAAAATAGATGAACAAATAACAAGACAACAAATAGAAAAATAGAAACAGATATGGTAGATATTAATCTAACTATGTCAGTAATCATTTTGAATGCCAATGGTCTAAATATAACAACTAAGACAAGATTCTGCGAGGCAGAAAACTATCAACAGGGTAAACACACAACCTATTATAGAATGAAAGAGAATGTTTACAAACTATGCATCTAACAAAAGTCTAATATCTAGAATCTATAAGGAACTTAACAAGCAAAAAATAACACCATTAAAAATGGGGAAAGGACATGAACAGTCCCTCATCAGAAGACATATGCACAGGCAACAAACGTAGGAAAAAATACTCAAAATCAGTAATCATTAGAGAAATGCAAATCGAAACCACAATGAGGTACCATCTCACACCAGTCAGAATGGCTATTATTAAAAATCAAAAAATAACAAATGCTGAAGAGGCTGCCGAGAAAAGAGAATGCTTGTACACTGCTGGTCAGAACATAAAATAGTTGAGCCACTGTGAAAAGCAGTCTGGAGATTTATCAAAGAACTTAAAACAGAACTACCATTCAACCCAGCAATCCAATTACTGAGTGTATACCCAAAGGGATATAAACCATTTTGCCATAAAGACACATGCAGGCATATGTTCATCGCAGCACTATTCACAATAGCAAAGACATGGAATCAACCTAGGTGCCCATCAATGATAGATTGGATTAAAAATGTGGTACATATATACTATGGGATACCACAGAGCCATAAAAGGAATGCAATCAATGTCTTTTGCAGCAATATGGATAGGGCTGGAGGCCATCATCCTAAGCAAATTAACACAGGAACAGAAAACCAAATATTGCATGTTCTCACTTATAAGTGGGAGCTAAATACTGAGTACACATGGACACATAGAAGGGAACAACAGACATCTGGGGCCTCCTTAAGGGTGGAGGTTGGGAGGAGGGTGAGGATTGAAAAACTACCTATTGGGTACTCTGTTTATTACCTGTGTGACAAAATGGCCAGCACACCAAACTTCCATGACATGTAATTTACCCATGTAATAATAAACCTTCACATGTACTCTTTGAACCTAAAATAAAAAGTGTGAAGAAAGAAATAAAAGAGATTGTCAGAGTAGATTAAAAAAAAAATCAGACCCAACTATATGCAGTCTGCGAAAAACCTATTCTAAATATAAGCATGCATCTAGATTAAAATTAAAGGGATGGAGAAAGATATACCATATTAACACTTATCAACCCCCCACCCCCCAGAATATCTACATTAATTTCAGACGGAGCAGACTTGAAGAGCAAGAAAAGTTAACAGAGATAAAAAGGAACATTACATAAGGAAAAAGGAGTCAATTCTCCAACAAGACATAACAATCCTAAATGTCTGTATGCACCTAAAAACAGCATAGAAATATGTCAGGGAGGCCGGGCGCGGTAGCTCACGCCTGTAATCCCAGCACTTTGGGAGGCCGAGGCGGGTGGATCATAAGGTCAAGAGATCGAGACCATCTGGTCAACATGGTGAAACCCCATCTCTACTAAAAATACAAAAAATCAGCTGGGCACGGTGGCGCGTGCCTGTAATCCCAGCTACTCTGGAGGCTGAGCCAGGAGAATTGCGTGAACCCAGGAGGCGGAGATGGCAGTGAGCGGAGATCGTGCCATTGCACTCCAGCCTGGGTAACAAGAGTGAAACTCCATCTCAAAAAAAAAAAAAAAAATGTCAGGGGAGAACTGACGGAACTTCAAGGAGAAACAGATGAATCCACTGCTAAAGTTGAAGACGTCAACACTCATTGATCGGAAATTGGCAGACTGAGCAGGCAGAAAATCAGTTAGAACATAGTCGATCACCATCAATCAACCGAACACCATCAATCAACCAGATATAAAGGACATCTACAGACTACTTCATCCAATAAGAGAAAATTACACATTCTTCTCAAGCTGGCATGGAACATGAACCAAGATATCACATTTTGGGCCATTAAATACACCTTAACAAATGTAAAGAATATACTTAACATATGGTCTACAACAGACCGCAACAGAATTAAACTACAAATCAATAAAAGAAAGACAGCTGGACACCATCGAAATAAATGGAGATTGAACAATACTCTTTTAAATAATATCTGGGCCAAAGAAGAAACCTAGGGAAATTAAACAAGATTTTGGACTAACAAAAATGAAAAGATAGCTAATCAAAATATGTGGGATGTAGCAAAAGCAGTGATTATAGGGACATTTATAACACTGAATGAATTAAAGTATTAGATTCTGCATTAGAAAAGAAGAAATATTGGAGAGAGGATTCAAGATGGCCAAATAGGAACAGCTCTGGATTGCAATTCCCAGTGAAAACACAGAGGGTGAGTGATCACCACATTTCCAAATGAATTTTTACTGCCCACAGACCAGGAGATTCCTGGGTTTCTTATGGTTTAGATGCAAAGAGGAAGGTGCCCTTGCAAATGGAGATTTTCATTACAAATTTCTCTCACAAAGAGTGGTTTTTTGAGATGGAGTCTTGCTCTTGTCGCCTAGGCTGGAGTGCAATGGCACAATCTCAGCTCATTGCAACCTCTGCCTCCCAGGTTCAAGTGATTCTCCTGCCTCAGCCTCCTGAGTAGCTGGGATTACAGGTGCCCACCACCTGTAATGCCTGGCTAATTTTTGTATTTTTTAAATTGCATTTTAGGTTTGGGGTACATGTGAAAAACATGCAAGATAGTTGCATAGGTACACACATGGCAGTGTAATTTGCTGCCTTCCTCCCCATCACCTATATCTGGCATTTCTCCCCATGCTATCTCTCCCCAACTCCCCACCCCCTGCTGTCCCTCCCCTATTTCCCCCTGACAGACCCCAGTGTGTGATGCTCCCCTCCCTGTGTCCATGTGTTCTCATTGTTCAGCACCCACCTACGAGTGAGAATATGTGGTGTTTGATTTTCTGTTCTTGTGTCAGTTTGCTGAGAATGATAGTTTCCAGGTTCATCCATGTCCCTACAAAGGACACAAACTCATCGGTTTTGATTGCTGCATAATATTTCATAGTGTATATGTGACACATTGTCCCTGTCCAGTCTATCATCGATGGGCATTTGGGTTGGTTGCAGGTCATTGCTATTGTAAACAGTGCTGAAATGAACATACGTGTGCATGTGTACTTATAATAGAACAATATATAATCCTTTGGATATATACCCAGTAGTGGGATTGCTGGGTCAAGTGGAATTTCTATTTCTAGATCCTTGAGGAGTCGCCACACTGTCTTCCACAATGGTTGAACTAATTTACTCTCCCATCAACAGTGTAAAAGTGTTCCTATTTCTCCACATGCTCTCCAGCATCTGTTGTCTCCAGATTTTTTAATGATCACCATTCTAAATGGTGTGAGATAGTATCTCAATGTAGTTTTGATTTGCATTTCTCTAATGACCAGTAATGATGAGCATTTTTTCATATGTTTGTTGGCCTCATGTACGTCTTCTTTTGTAAAGCATCCGTTCATATCTTTCACCCACTTTTGAATGGGCTTGTTTTTTCTTGTACATCTGTTTTAGTTCTTTGTACATTCTGGATATCAGCCTTTTGTCAGATGGGTAGACTCCAAAAAAATTTTCCCATTCTGTTGGTTGCTGATTCACTCTAATGACTGTTTTTTTTTTTTTTTTTTTTGCTGTGCAGAAGCTTTGGAGTTTGATTAGGTCCTATTTTGCTATTTTGGCTTTTGTGGCCAATGCTTTTGGTGTTTTGGTCATAAAGTCCTTGCCTATGCCTATGTCCTGAATGGTTTTGCCTAGATTTTCTTCTAGGGTTTTTATGGTGTTAGGTCTTATGTGTAAGTCTTTAATCCATCCGGCGTTAATTTTAGTGTACGGTGTCAGGAAGGGGTCCAGTTTCTGCTTTCTGCACATGGCTAGCCAGTTTTCCCAACACCATTTATTAAACAGGGAATCCTTTCCCCATTGCTTGTTTTTTTCAGGTTTGTCAAAGATCAGATGGTTGTAGGAATGTTGTGTGCCTCTGAGTCCACTATTCTGTTCCATTGGTCTATATCTCTGTTTTGGTACCAGTACCATGCTGTTTTGATTACTGTAGCCTTGTAGTATAGTTTGAAGTCAGGTAGTGTGATGCCTTCCGCTTTGTTCTTTTTGCTTAGAATTGACTTGGCCTTGCAGGTTCTCCTTTGGTTCCATATGAAGTTTAAGGTGGTTTTTTCCAGTTCTATGAAGAAGGTCATTGGTATCTTGATGGGGATAGCAT